TTTAAAATGAATTTCCATAAATTACAGAGGTCTCAGTTCTAGAGAAATTTAGATAGTAATTATCTTGAGCTTCACTTTAAAAAATACCTAGTTCCCTAATAATTATATAAATTACAAAAATCATTATACTCATGGGCACCACATAAGGGGGGAAATAGTTTTATAAAACTGACAAATTGTATTGGAATTGTACTTTTCAAGTATAATAGAAATAATCTCAAGTAATTTTAACAAGCATTATTTTAATGTTTGTACACCTTTTTTATTCTTTTAAAGGTACGCAATAACAGTGTGGTATTTTGATGCAGATGAAAGAGCCCGTGCAAAAGTAAAATACTTAACAGGTAAGTTGCTATATTTTCTTACTGAGTATTTTACAAATTTTTTACTTGAATTTAGTGTAGTAGGACTATTCTAATTTATTTTTAAAGATTGCGTTTAATAAAAATTATACTATAATCTAGAGCATAGAAATTGAGCTACTGTCACTGTATTAAAATGTCAAGCATGATCTGCTCTAGGAGTATAGTTTACTAAGATTGACTGCTTTGGCAAAAATAGAATTATGTATCTCTGTATTAGAAATTCCTTAATAGCTGACTTTTGCTGTGGCAGCGTAAGAGGAAAATGGAAAAAGTATATAGCTTTTGGATATGCACATTTCATAGTTTCTAAAAGATGAAGATCTATCTGTTTGATTTTCTGAAGTGTCTTGAAATTTTGCTTCTACTTGTGTGGGATTGCCCTTGAAGAGTATCTGGAAACTTTAAAGTTACAAATTTGAACAAAGAAAATTAAAAAAAATCAAAATGTGACAGGGATGATAGACACATCAGGGTACTTTTAAACATGGAGTGAGGTCCACAGAAGTTAAATTGGAATTAAAACTATAAAACTGTTAACTTCAGCTGGTACAAAATGCAGTGGCACATGCAGTTATCTGTTTCTCTAGAACACACATTACAATGTTTCACAAACTGCACTGGTTTTAAGATTGTTTTCAATTTCAATTCAAGGTGCTGTTTTTTTTTTTACATGGGCCAGATTTATTTGAGGGACCATTTCTCCCTGACTATATTTGCCTGTCCTATCAGTTCCAGCCGAAGAGAGGTCCTGTCAGAGAATGACATTTGGTGGGACTCAGGAGACAGATTTCTCTGCTGTGTCATCTGCTTCAAGGATTAATTGTGGGCTCAATTATGGTTGTAGGGCCTATAAAGACACTTTTTTGTGAGATGGGTAGCCATATAAATTAGGTGAATAAATAAAAATGAAACTAAGGTATTGTGTTAATTATAACAAAATAACATAATAAAAATAGTTTAATATTCAAAAACCAAGTGCAAAGATGTCCTTGATGCTGGGTTTTTTTTCCAAATTCAGCCATTAGCTTTGTATAGTTCAGTATGCCTTGTTAGGTAATAATTATTGTAATAGCCAATTAATATTTAACTTGGTTTCAAACAGGCATTGATTGTGAAGTTCTAAAAACATGTATTTTGTTTTAAAGTTTTAAGAAAAGGAAAATTACAACTTATTTCAAATCCATCTTCCAGTACCATCTTTCCATATAATATCCTCCCTTTTTTTGTAGGTGAAAAAGGTGTGAGGGTTGAACTAAATAAACCTTTGGATTCAAATGGGAAAGAACATTTGTAAAGCTTTTGGTCTACAGTTCCCTCCTCTACATCCTGGCTCTTTTCACCTCACCTTCATCAAACGGTGATATCTATTAATTTTTGAATGTGAATAATAAGAAAAAGAAAATCAACACCAAATCAAGATTTTGAATCGGTAAACAATGGGTTTTGATGTTCCATCAAATGGCATTTTAACTGCTGAAGCATTGTACTCCATGATTGTGACTCCAGTCCTGTGTCTGCTAAACAGTTTACACATGAAGTGCCCGACATTAGAGATTTTCTACCATTCATCTTTTGACATTCAGTCATTCAGCTCAATGCTGTTCATCTTCCTCTTTAAAAAAGCGATAAATATTGAGTTTAAATAATTTTGTATAACTAGGTTTGGTGATCAAAATTGAACAAAACATTCTTCAAAGCAACATTTCTCTATTTTTGTAAATCTGCTTTTTCCCCCATTATTCTACCACATAAAACTTAATTTAAATAAATGAAATGCCAGTAAATGATTGTCTTTTTACCTAAAATCCAAAAAGGAGCACTTTAATCATCACCTGAGAACCCATTTTTCATATCTTATGCTGATTTGATTGATTGTATTGTGTTCTCTCTCAAACTTAAGCAACATGAAACAGATGCCTGTCTTTCTGTCAATTACTTACGGCTTTACTTAATGAATCTGGAAAGTAACCATTTTTTAACCTGTCTCATTTGAGTTTTCTAAGTGACTGGCTGGCCACTAAGTGAACTTGACACTATCTGTACTGTCATAGTGTTGAACGCTATGGGTGTACTCCACTGGGAACTTCATCTGTGAACCCATTTGAGGGAAATGCAGTTCTTCAAAGAAAAGCTGGGCTCTTGTGTAACTTCTGCAGATGAATTACTAGGTGGATTCTGTCCACAAATATCATTCAATACCTAAACTGTAAGGGCTTTTCTAGGCTTTTAGATGAAGCAACACCTCTTCTACTACTGTGATGGGAGATCTGTCTTAACTCATTTGAAAGCTTTCTCTCATTTGTGTAAGTTAAAATTAGAGATAAGTTTTCTCTCAAAGCACTACCATCCCTCATCCTTTACTGTTTGCCCCTTGATCCTTTTACATAATGTCAAGTGTATATTAAATACATTAAGACTGAAGTGCATCACTGCAGGCTTAATATGTGAGGGATTTCATACTATGGAGAAATTTTTACAATGGTCTAATGTTTGGGGGGGAGAGTGAGGAACAATAACATTCATTTACCAGCTATATGAAATTTATTTTAATTTTCTGCTGAAATATGATTCGCTGAAGGGGGAAGCTTTTAAATTCTCCCAGCCTTACCAATAGCATCCCCAATCCCTTTTTGCCTCACTTAATCAAAATAAAGTAAGTGTACAGAAATGTTTCTCTGTATACAACTTAACACCTGTATAGTTTATATTCTAAAAAGTCCTTTTCTATGGAAAGTTCAGTAATTTTTATTAAAAAAAACCTTACTATTCATGTAAAACATGAAAAACAAGAAGGATTGTGCTTAATGACCATTGACAGAAGGGAGAAAATTCAACATTATTATAACATCCTGGGGAAATTACAAAAAAAAAGTTTGGTTTTTTTGTTCTCTTCTGTCCCTTCTCCAAAAATTACTTACTAGCTGTCAAAACTTGTAATAGTTTGACTTTTCTCTTCATCCTGGTAAATTGAAAGAAAACACATCTTACTTAAGTGCCTCTGGAAGCCTGGCCAAGGAGTGTTAATTCTTTACTGACTGGTCTGCAGCGCAATGCAGTTTAGGCCTAGTAAATCTAACTTTTAACTGCTTTTGTATTACATTTAATGTGTTAAAATGCAAACCTAAGACTTCAATTTTTTTGTCCCTTTATCAGCATCTTACATTTGCGCTTGCTGGGGAGATATACAATCTCTTGGATATCTCTATTATTTACAAAAGTTACCAAACTGGGCCTCAGATGCCCATTTTAAAACAGTTCACGTCAGTTAAATTTTCAGCCTGGGGCATCACCAAACAGAAACCTGTTTCAGACTATTTTTAAACTGTCTTATGGCCTGTATTTCTGTTTAGTCCTGGTTAAAGATAAAGCTTCATGATGCTATTTTTATTTCATGACATTAGCCAGCTGTAAAAAAAAGACTTTTATCTAGCAGGCAAAGAAATTCAGGATTCATTTGCAGATTTATTACAAAGTCACGTAACTTTTGAAAATCAGTGTTCCTTATTGAAAGAGCTCTCGAGTTGCTTGTAAAGCTAATCTAATTAAAAGATTACAAAAGTTTTTGAAACAATGTGGTTATTTTGTAATTATGTAACTCTTTTAAAGCCTATTCCACAGCAACTAATTTGTAATCTGATAAACTGTGTGTGTGCATGTGTGTGCCTGTTTTTAGCAGGCAGTGACACTGTAACTGTAGTCAAAAAGTCCGTTAGCTTTATTTATAAACCCTGTTTTTAATTATCTAATCTAGCTGTGATTGTTTTTAAAAGTGAGGCTGCTGAGGGAAAATAAGCAGAGGAGGGAGAAAAGTGCTGTGGCCTGTTTAGTAAATCAACACTATGATTATAAACATTTTGTCTCCACTACCTTAGTACCTCTCTTGTGGTAAACATAGTTCTTGATTGAGAGATGTAGATAGGTATTCTGAGTATATCCACGCAAACTGAATTCAGAGATTCACCATCACTAGGTAGGTAAACAGGGCATGATCTTCTGCCAACTCTTGTATCTTCTAATCCACAAAAAGGAAAATGCTATATGGATACATTTCAAGGCTAGTCATCTCCTAGGGAAGGATTCACTTTTAACCACCTACATAAAGCACCCTGATTGATGAGATTTTTCAACTGATTACAGATCTTTAGCTGGTTCGTAACAACCTTTAAATAAAAATAGTTCCTCATCAACTCAATAGTTCACATTGATTTGCATAGTTGCACTGATGTTAGAAGAAACCTTGTTCTGAGAAATTTAATTTTCTGACCATCTTTTTACTACACTGTGTTTTTAACTTAAAATTTTTCAAGTCAAAACAATAAGCAAATGTCTTTCAACAACACATAAATGCAAGAGCCTTGTTTTTTGTTTTGATGTATTTTTATTATTTCTAATATTTAGGGAGACCCCCTCTATAAAAGTATACATGTAACCACACATATAAAAACAACAGTAAAATACAATGCAAATTAGAAAAACTACAGCAGGGGTGTCAAACTCAAGGCCTGTGGGCTGAATGTAGCCCGCCATGTG